GACAGACAGCAGCTAGTATCCTTCCTGCTCGATAATCTTGATGTATTTGCATGGACTCCATATGAAATGCTGGGCGTCGACCTAACTATTTTTGAGCATCGTTTGAATGTTGACCCTAAGTGCAAGCCGATCATTCAGAAAAGCCGGCGATTTGCCGCAGAGCACACTACCACCGTGATTGAAGAGGTTGACCGACTGCTTGATGAAGGGGCAATCAGGAAAGTTACCTACCCTACATGGCTCTCTAATACTGTAGTTGTGAAGAAGAACGGTACATGGTGAGCTTGCGTTGATTTCACGGACCTAATTCTTTTCTTTTTTTTTTTTTGTTTTCCTCTCCCATGGATATTTGTAATGGATCGGTTCTATTACATCATTTAACGGTGAGTATATTAATCTTTTTTAATTTAAAGTTTGGGATAAACTAAAAAAGTCAAAAAATTATTAAAAAAAAAACCATACTGTTTGGGGGAAGCTTGTGAGGGAAGCCTAGAGGGCAAAATTATTATTTTGCCCTTTGAATTCAACTATCCAAAAGTCAAAAAGTTAAAAGTCAAAAGGTCGATAAGGCTATAATGGTCATTTTGATTTTACTACAATATTTTATTACACATCTTTTCGTAAAATGTCAAAAAATTATCCGAAACATACATATTTTTTTCTACACTTTTTTAATTAAAAAGTCAAAAAGTACACATCCCAAACAACTTATATAATGAAAATCTTTCATTATATACATGAAATAGAGAATTAAAATCCATTGAACATCAAAATGCTCAATCCTTAATACAACCAACAATGTTACGTATTTATAAAAGAGTTCAAAATTTGAAACATGTAGATGAATTCATCCTGGGTGGTGCCCAAATCACCATACTTTCAAAATTTGGACATATTTCTTAATATTTTTTTGGTCACCTATTAGAGCTATTACAAATTAGTTTGACACAGAAATTCAAACCGAATCCGTAAAAAACCTCATATTCCTGAACACCCACTTGACCAGAATGCAAGAATTTCTGAAGCAATCAAATAATCCACCATTTCAACAACCACAGAAGGTAATAGAAAATTCTTATTCTAAAACTACCAAAAAAGTTCAGAGACAAAAAGCAGTAGAATCACATGTTTCAGCTAGAAAAGTGACTAGTGGAGCTATTTAGACTTGTAACCAAACAAGCTAAATCTAGATTGCTCAAAAACGTTCAATTCAGAAAGCCATAATAAAAAACAATACCAGAAAAGGATATGTAGAAAACGGATTGGATACAAATTAGTTAAAAAAATATCAAAACCTTTTATTGGATAACTGGGTGGGTCAATTGGAGTTCTCCACCATTAAAAACTAAAAGGGAGAGGATTCTCTCCGGTCCAAATCTAGACTAGAGAAGTGATGTTCGAATACCATTATGATAAATCGAATCGTTCACTTTTTTTGACCCCTTCGTGTAAGTCATTCACAAACAAAAATATATCAATATAATAATTGTAACATTTATTTTATCGTGTTTGTCTTTAAAAAAAAAAGGAAATCACACTTCCTGATCATTTTTTAGAGACAAACACAAAACAGTGAATATGTTACAATAACCTACTTTTTGGGTTTTTGATATACACGTAGAGGCTTAAAAAATGAACGATTCAGATTATCGAAACATGACTCATGATAGACCCAAATAACACCTCTCCATTCCAAATCTGGACTGGAGACAATTCTCTCCCAAAATGAAAAAATAGTTATCTCTTCGAGGGTGGAAAGTTGTGGTGTCAATTGGCCTCACTAGGTCTTGGAAAAAAATATATATTATCTATACTTTATAGTAAAATTGAGCCCGTTTAGTTATAAAAATGGAACTCATTGCAAAGAGTTGAAGAAATTTTTTTTGTGAAATTAGCTTCTTCTTTTAAGGTACAAATCATCTAAAGTAACGCTGATCTTTATGAAAAAAATTCATAAAAAGCTTCATGAATATTCTCCACTTTTAGATTACACTTACAATAAAACACCACAAATTAAACAATGAATAAAAAATCTTCACGAAACTTTTCATAATATTTATTTCATGAAACCTAACATTATTCAATCATGTATATCCTATTCTCTCCATTGTTTCTATTTTAAAACTCTTTCTCGCCCCGTAATCAATGTAGGAAAGATTGATCAAGTGATAGAGAGAATGTTTAGAATAAGTTGATGGAGGACATTGGATACAAAGAATATATCTCATTACTTTTACCAGTAACAACTAAAATTATGGAAAGAGCATTTTTAACAATGAAAGTCATAAAGATTTGATTATAAAATCGAATGGAAAAGTAAGGATGACTAATTGTTCAATCACATACATTGCAAAATGACGCATTTGACAACATTGTAATGTGACAATTATGCAATGATTTCAAAATACAAAAACTCGTCGATAGCAATGATGAGTTTTTTGAATAAAGTTTTTTGAAAATTGAGTTTTTTGGTTTTTGTGTTTTTTTGTTTTTAGTGAATATTTTTAAAATTTTAAATATTTTTTTTTATTTTTTTAGATGCACATTACTTAGATATATCTAAAAAGTAAAAAATTTGTGAAAAAATATTTTTAAAAATTAATAAATATATAAAAATACAAAAAATGTATTGAATTCTCGTATTTTTTTGTATTTTTGGTATTTAGTGAATTTTTAAATGGTTTTTTTCAAATTTTTTTTTTTACTTTTTAGGTATATTTATGTTAGGTATGTCTAAAAATTTTAAAAATTGCTCAAAATATTAAAAAAATTTAGTAAAAACAAAAAAAACACGAAAAATAAGAAAGTAGAATTTTTTAAAAAGTATTTTTGAAAATTGATAACCAAGCATAGTGGTAGTATTTATTTATGATTTTAAGAAATATAATTGTTTTTGTTAAATTATTAAAAATGGATATCGATAAGAGTAAAACAAAATTTTTTTAATAATAATTTGTGGAAATTTATTGACAATAAACAAAAATCCCAGAGCTGCCATTGATCCCTTCACTATATTTATGAGAACTATATTAAATCCAACAAATCTAGTTGCACGTCCACATCCTAAATACAATACTTTTGTAGATTTTAAAGAAAAACACCAACGACACTCTTGATTAGTTTTTTCAATGTAATCATAATGACATTTTCTACAAGTTCAATCGTTGTTTAAAATTTTGTCAGGTTCAATACCAGAGGAGATTGGTATGCTTCCAAAAATGGAAGTACTATATCTCCAGTACAATAACTTAATGGGCTCCATTCCTGCAACAATCTTCAGCATCTCAACATTACAAATTATTGCATTTACGCAGAATCAGTTTTCAAGTAAACTTCCATCAAGTATAGGTGTTTCGCTACCCAACCTTGAACGACTTCATCTTGGAGAAAATGAACTCAGTGGAATTGTTCCCGATTCTATCTCGAATGCTTCTAAACTAGTTATATTAGTTCTTTCCAATAACAGGTTTAATGGTTCAATTCCAAGCTCACTCGGCAACTTAAGACTCCTAGACTATCTTTACCTATCAGGAAACAACTTCACTTGTGAATATTCTTCCTCTTTTGAATTGAACTTCCTCACTTCCTTGTCAAGTTGCAGACAATTAAGAAAATTGGTGATCAGTAGCAATCCTCTAAACGGCATCCTTCCAGCTTCTATTGGGAATCTCTCTGATTCTCTGGACAATATTGATGCTAGTTATTGTGGAATCAGAGGTAGCATTCCCAGTGAAATTGCTAACTTAAGCAATTTAGCTTTCTTAAATATAGATGGCAATGAGTTGACAGGATTCATTCCGATCACAATCAAAAATTTAAGCAAGCTTCAAATACTATCTCTTTATGACAACCAAATACAAGGATTCATACCGGTTAATCTATGCTATCTAAAAAACCTGGGTGCATTGTACTTGGGAAAAAATAACTTTTCTGGACTGATATCGGCATGCGTAAGGAATATTACTTCCCTAAGATATCTAGATCTAGATTCAAACAAATTAATTTCTAGCATACCCACAAGTTTGTGGAGCCTCAAGGATCTCTTGGAACTTAACTTATCCTCGAATTATTTAAGTGGATATTTACCACTAGAACTTGGCAATTTAAAGGTTGCAATTAGCATTGATCTATCTATGAACCAATTCTCAAGACAAATCCCAAGCACCATTGGAGGTCTACAAGGTGTGATTAATCTTTCTTTGGCACATAACAAGTTACAAGGGCCAATTCCTCGGTAAATTGGTAGTTTGATAGACTTAGAATTTTGTGATCTATCTCATAACAATCTATCTGGTGTAATTCCCAAGTCGTTAGTGGAACTTTTACAGCTAATGTACTTCAATGTATCTTTCAATAGATTAACAGGAGAAATTCCAAGTAGAGGGTCTCTCGCAAACTTCACATATCAATCTTTCATGTCAAATGAAGCATTGTGTGGTGCTCCTCGGTTGCAAGTCCGACCATGCCATACTAGCTCTCCTCATCAAGCGAGAACAAAACAAATATTGCTAGTTGTATACATTTTGTTGCCAATTGCATCCATATTGCTTGCCATGATATTTGTATTTGTGTTTATAAGACGCCACCAAAGAAGAAACAAAATTCCAATTCAAACTAATTTGTTACTTGCAAGAATAAGCCATGGAAGAATTACATACCATGAACTTTCAAGAGCGACCGATATGTTTAGTGAAAGCAACTTGCTTGGCACAGGGAGTTTCAGTTCAGTTTATAAAGGAATGCTTCCTGGTAGGAAAATTTTTGCTACGAAGGTGTTCAAATTGGAACTGGATGGTGCGTTCAAAAGTTTTGAAACAAAATGTGAAATATTGCGCAACATACGTCATCGAAATCTCACCAAAGTCATTAGCAGTTGCTCAACCCTTGATTTTAAAGCCCTAGTGCTTGAGTACATGCCTAATGGCACTCTAGAAAAATGGTTGTATTCTCACAACTATTTCTTAGATTTATTGCAGAGGTTGGACATAATGATAGATGTGGCTTGTGCCTTGGAGTATCTTCACCATGGTTATTCAGTGTCTGTGGCTCATTGTGATTTGAAACCAAGCAATGTGTTACTAGATGATGATATGGTTGCACATGTGAGTGATTTCGGCATTGCAAAGTTGTTAGGTGTGGGGGAGAGCATTGCACAAACAAGGACAATAGCAACATTTGGATATATTGCACCAGGTGATGCTTCTATAAACAAAAATTCTAGAGCCGCCACTGATGCCTTTATGTATTTACAAGAACTACATTAAATCCAGCAAAGCTAGTTGCACATCCACATCCTAAAGACAAGATTTTTGCAAATTTTAAAGAAAAACACTGACGACACTCTAGATTAGTATTTTAACTATATTCCCAATAATACTTTCTACAAGTTTAATTGTTGTTTAAATTTTTCCAGGTTCAATACCAGAGGAGATCTTTAATATCTCAACATTACAGATAGTTGGATTCGCGCAAAATCAGCTTTCAGGTACCCTTCCATCAAGTATAGGTGTTTCGCTACCCAATCTTGAACGACTTTGGCTTGACGGAAATGACCTCAGTGGAATTGTTACCGACTCTATCTCAAATGCTTCTAAACTCATTGATTTAGATCTTTCATCTAACAGATTTAGTGGTTCAATTCCAAGCTCACTTGGCAACCTAAGACTCCTTGAGTATCTCGTGCTACCAGGAAACTACTTCACTTGTGAATCTTCTTCTTCTGAATTGAGCTTCCTCACTTCCTTGTCAAGTTGCAGAAAATTAAACAGAATATGGATCAATAACAATCCTCTAAATGGCATACTTCCAGCTTCTATTGGGAATCTCTCCAATTCTCTGGCCGATATTGATGCTAGTTATTGTGGAATCAGAGGCAGCATTCCTAGTGAAATAGAAAACTTAAGCAATTTAGCTTTCTTACGAATGAATGGCAATGAGTTGACTGGATTCATTCCAACCACAATCAAAAGTTTAACCAAGCTTCAAAGACTAGATCTTAATGGAAACCGAATACAAGGATTCATACCAGTTGATCTATGCTATTTAAAGAACCTGGGTGAGTTACACTTGGGAAAAAATAACCTTTCTGGACTGATACCGGCATGTCTAGGGAATATTACTTCCCTAAGATATTTGGATCTAGATTCAAATAAATTAATTTCTAGCATACCCACAAGTTTGTGGAGCCTCAAGGATCTCCTAGAACTTAACTTATCCTCGAATTATTTAAGTGGATATTTACCACTAGAACTTGGCAATTTAAAGGTTGCAATTAGCATTGATCTATCGATGAACCAATTCTCAGGACAAATCCCAAGCACCATCGGAGGTCTACAAGGTGTGATTAATCTTTCTTTCGCACATAACAGATTACAGGGACCAATTCCTCAGTCAATTGGTAGTTTGATAGACTTGCAATTTTGTGACCTATCCCATAACAATCTATCTGGTGTAATTCCCAAGTCATTAGAGGCACTTTCACAGCTGAGGTACTTCAATGTATCTTTTAATAGATTAACAGGAGAAATTCCAAGTAGAGGGTCTTTCGCAAACTTCACATATCAATCTTTCATGTTGAATGAAGCGTTGTGTGGTGCTCCTCGGTTGCAAGTCCCACCATGCCATACCGACTCTCCTCATCAATCGAGAACAAAACAAATGCTGCTAGTTGTATATATTTTGCTGCCAATTGCATCAATATTGCTTGCCATGATCTTTGTATTTACATTTATAAGACGCCGCCAAAGGAGCAAATGTTAATAATTAAAAAGATAAAAGTAAGATTAATTTTTGTTTTTTCAAACATGGAGCCACCGTTTTTGTAGACAATTTAATACAAAGTTCACAACTTTCAAACAAGCAAATGATTTGCTCCATCTTGTTTTATTATAATATATAACTCCATCTTTTTCTTCTTGTTTTATTATAATATGATATAATCAATGTAGTGTAAAAAATTTAATTGCTCACGTGATATATTTTATTTATATTATATGCATTCTATATAATATTCTAATCAAATATTTGCATATATAGTAAAATCCCTTTAAGTAATATTTATAATAAATCTGATCATATATACTATTTTCTGTATATGTTGTAGAGATTTTAAATTAAATATAACCTTCCACTCCATATCAATTTTGTCAAAAGAAGACAACCCATAAATACCAAATTTGTCAAAATAATACAACCAATCAATATCAAATTTGTCAAAAGATGAATAGTGATCAGCCTAATTTTTCAAAAAGTGAATAGTAAAGTTTTCAAAAATATTTTTTATTTAAATAATTTTTAACAAATGTATCATGCAATATATATTTTAAATAGATAATATTTTGTGTCAAATAATATAAAATATGTATATTATTTACAAATTTTCAATTAATATTTTAGACATCATCAAAATTAAACAACATGATTAACAATCTCCCCCTTTTCGATGATAGCAATATTTGTATGGATTTGACACAAAATAAAAATTAACAAGTTATTTGATAATTTTGCAACATAAAATATTTAAAGCGCATGCATGCACAGCAATTCAAAGTCATATGTTTTTCTCCCCCTTTGACATCATCAAAATAAAATATAGAGATAGAAAACAAACACATTTGGTAAAATATTCTGAGATGCCAAAAATAGAAGAATGGTCCATAGGTCTTGTCGAGATCATTGTGGGGATTTTGGAGCATCTCAAGCGCAGAAAATGTTGAGAAACAAAAGATTTGAGCATATATGCATCAAGTAATGGATCAATGGAGTGTATAAAAAGTGACACAGATCATAGGCAAAGATACGAAATCATCAAGTGTTGGAGAGAAAAATTTGTTTTAGCTTCTTGTGTAATCATGTCATTCCTTACCTTAGCCATCAATGGTTTGGACCTGTATAAGGTGCCTGTAATACAGGCAAATGAGAGGGTACCAGTGGTGTAGGCACATGCTATGCCTGTAAATGAGGGTCCTAGTGTTATTGGTAATCGAAATGATATCGATGTTATTAATAACACTATGGCTCTTAGTACACAGGCAATGACTGCAGTTTCCAATATGGCGCAATGATTATAAGCAAGAGTACAAGAAAATCAGCAATGGAGAGATGAGGTGTGCTTGTTAAAACAACAGCTGGTTAATATGTGTAAGGAGAAGAAAGAGCTAAAAACGAAAAATGCACAGTTGGAGAATGCGGTGCAATATTATGCAACGGTTATAATGCCGAGACTGACAGAAGTCGAAAATAGAGAGAAACATGTAAACGAGGCTCATGAAAAATTGTTGAGAGAAGTGAAACGGAAAAAATCTGTGAAGCCTTTTGAAAATTTATATGTAATCAAGTAATATTTTCTTCTTCTGAAATAAAATTGCAAGCATTTCTTCCCTTTTTATTTATTTATTTATTTTTATTTTTATTTTTTTGTTTAATTCTGTCTTTGCACAAAAAAAAAAATAAATATTTGTTGTGCAGATAAGAGTAAAAATGTATATATATCCTCCTAAAATTATGCGCAGAATATACAACGCCCCTTTTTATTTTATTTTTTTTATTATTTTATTTTTATATTTTTCCAATAATTGTTAATCTCAAAATATATGAGTCTCCCTGAATTAATGCACTAAAAATTACATAAATTTGAAGAAACAAATTACCAATCTATAATACCAAGGCGCATTAAGATCTGGCACTAATAAACAACTACAAATGCAAATAGGTCATAAAGGAAAAGAAATAAAATAAACGTGTATTCGTCTAGTTTATGGATAGAAGACGGGGAGTTATGCAATACATATAGAATTTCAGAAAGTAAGAAGTATTTTTGCACAATGGAATAGATAGGTGAAGAGAATATGAAAGATGAGTTCATTTGTAATAAGATGATGAGTCGGTCTGGACTTAAGGAGATAATACTAGATAAAGAGGAAATGGTATTGGGGATAGAGAGGGTGACGGGAGATTTGTGACTGTTGGAGTGCATAGTAGAGGATTTGATGGATCAGTCACGGATCTTGATGGATCGGTGATGGAACTTGATGAATCGGTGAAGATGGTGATGCAGATTTCGGGTGGAGAAGTGATGGAGTTTGGAAGATTAGTGAGGGATTTGGATGGATGGTGATAGTGATGAAAGTGATCGATGATTTTGTGGATGGTGGAGTTGGTTGTAGGCTATGGTGAGGGTGGAGATGGAGTCGGCTAAGGGTAGAGGGAGAAGGGGAGAGCGAGACAGCAAGAGAAGGAGAAAAAGAGAGAGTAAGGGAGAGAGTGGGTGAGAGATAGAGACGGAACGGAAGAGAGAGAGAGAAAAATTATATATATAAATATATGTATATTATTATTATGGTTATTATTTTTTATAATAATAATTATTATTACAATATTTATTTTATTTAATTATTAAAAAATTATTTTTTAATATAAACATTATATTGGAGTATTTATCATACCAAGTTCTGTTCTGATATAACAAAATTGTTCTTCATTTAGAGGCTTGGTAAATCTTCGAGGTTTCCCCTTATTTGTAGGCACAAATTCGAGTTCAATGTCACCTTTGAGTACATGATCTCTCAGAAAATGATGCCTTATTTCAATGTGTTTAGTGCGTGAGTGCTGAATAGGATTTTTTGAAAGGTTAATGGCACTTGTATTGTCACATTTTATAGGAATATGATCATAGTGAAGTCTAAAATCTTAAAGTTGTTGTTTCATCCAAAGCAATTGCACACAAACACCCAGCGGCGGCAATGTATTCTGCTTCAGCAGTTGACAGAGCCACTGAGTTTTGTTTTTTGCAAAACTAAGAAGTGAGTGAGTGTCTAAGAAAATGACAAGTGCCACTAGTGTTTTTTCGGTCAAGTCTACATCCTGCAAAGTCGGCATCTGAGTAACCAAAAAGTTCAAAGGCGGTTCCCTTAGGATACCATAATCCCAAATATGGAGTGCCAACAAGATATTTGAAAATACGTTTGACCGCGGTGATATGTGACTCTTTCGGTGCGGATTGAAAACGTGCACACATACAAACACTAAACATTATGTCGGGCCTACTTGCAGTAAGATAGAGTAAAGAACCAATCATACCTCGATATTTTTTTTCATTTACAGGTTTACCTTGCTCATCTTTGTTGATTTTTATCGATGTGCTCATTGGAATTGCTGCAGGCTTTGATAATTCCATTTCAAACCTTTTGAGTAGATCTTTGATATATATTTCGTTTGATTTAAATGGATTCCATCATTAGTTTGTTTAATTTGTAGACTAAGGAAGTAATTTAATTCCCCCATCATACTCATTTCAAACTCACCCTGCATGTCTTTAACAAACTCTTTGCACAAATTTTCATTAGTAGCACCAAAAATGATATCATCAACATAAATTTGAACAATTAGCATATCTTCTTTTTTGATTTTTATAAAAAGTGTTGTATCAATTTTTCCTCTACAAAAACCTTTGTCAAGTAGAAAATTACTCAATCTTTCATACCATGCTCTAGGAGCTTGTTTCAAGCCATATAAAGCTTTTGAAAGTTTGAAAACATGATCTGGGTATTTATGATTTTCAAAACCGGGAGGCTGTTCAACATAGACTTCCTCCGAAATGTACCCATTTAAAAAAGTACTTTTAACATCCATTTGATATAGTTTAAAATCTTTAAAACACGCAAAAGCAAGTAACATTCTAATAGCTTCAAGTCTAGCAACTGGTGCAAAAGTTTCATCAAAATCAATTCCCTCTTCTTGATTATAGCCTTGAGCTACTAATCTAGCTTTATTTCTAGTAACAACTCTAGATTCGTCCATTTTATTTCGAAAAACCCATTATGTACCAATAACGGGATGATCCTTAAGTTGAGGGGTTAAAAACCAAACTTCATTTCTTTCAAATTGATTTAATTCTTCTTGCATTGCTAAAATCTAGTTTTCATCATTTTCAGCTTCTAAAAATGATTTTGGTTCAATTTGTGAAACAAACGCTAAGTTACCACAAATATTTCTAACAGAAGAACGAGTTTTTATACCTTTTGCCGCATCACCTATGATGAGGTCTTTGGGGTGGCCTTGACCATACTTCCATTCTTTTGGTAGATTTGAGTCACTTTTTGGAAGAGCATATATTTCTTGAAGTTTCTCCATTGCCATTTCTTCTTCATGTTCGCGTAATGGATTTTCTTCATTTTTCTTTTTGTAAATGCTCTCCATGCTTGGTTGATTTTCTACAATATCATTACTTACAAGATTCTTGGAAATAATGTCATTAGATTCATGAAAAACAACATTCACTGATTCTTCAACAAGTAGAGTTCTTTTATTGAATACTCTATAAGCTTTACTGGACATAGAATAACCAAGAAATATAGCTTTATCCGATTTAGCATCAAATTTTTCTAGGTTATCTTTATTGTTATTTAATACAAAGCATTTACAACCAAAAGCACGCAAGTGACTAATATTAAGTTTTCTACCTTTCCAAAGTTCATAAGGGGTTTTCTTAAGAATAGGTCTACTCATTGCACGGTTTATAACATAACATGCAGTGTTAACAGCTTCCACCCAAAAATATTTAGGCAAATTATTTTCACAAAGCATAGTATGGGCCATTTTTTCAAGAGTTCTATTTTTTCTTTCAGCCACACCGTTTTGTTGAGGAGTCCTAGGGCCTGAGAAATTATGATCTATTCCTAAGTCATCACAAAACATAATAGAATCATCATTTTCAAATTCTCTACCATGGTCATTTCTAATACTACAAATATTATGATTTTTCTCATTTTGAATTCTTTTCCAAAGTTTTGAGAAATTATAAAAAGCTTCATTTTTGTGTGCTAAAAATAATACCCATGTATATCTAGTATAATCATCAACACAAACAAGGGCATAATATTTTCCTCCTAAACTTAATGTTCTAGATGGTCCGAATAGATCAATATGCAAGAGTTGAAGCGGTCTAGTAGTTGAAACGATATTTTTAGATTTAAAAGAAATTCTATTTTGTTTTCCAAATTGACATGCATCACAAAGTTTATCTTTTTCAAAAACAATTTTTGATAAACCTATGACTAACTCATGTTTTGAAAGTTTGGAAATTAAATCAAAATGAGCATGTCCTAATCTTCTATGCCAAAGCCAACCATTATCATTTATAGCAGATAAACATTTAATGTTAAAATGAGAAGATAAATCATGTAAATCGAACACATATACATTCTCATGTCTATAACCTACAAATAAAGTTTTGTTTTCTAGGGTATTTTCAATAGTGCAATGAGTTTTCTAAAAAATAACTCTATAACCTTTATCACATAATTGACTAATGCTAAGCAAGTTATGTTTTAAACCTTCAACAAATAAAACATTTTCAATAATAGGAGAAGGATTTTTACCAATACTTCCTACACCAATGACTTTACCCTTGCTATTGTTGCCAAAAGTCACATATCCGCCATCTTTTGGTTGAAGTGTGGCGAATATAGCTTTATTTCCAGTCATGTGCCTCGAACATGCACTGTCGAGATACCATCTATCGTTACTGGATTTTGTCTTGAAACATACCTACAAAAATTTGATTTTTCTATTGGTACCCATTTTTTCTTGGGTCCATAAAAGTTAGAATTTGATACTCTTAAAATGTCCTTAGAGACCCACATCTTTTTTTATTTTAGGAAAATGATTTTTTTTAAGAGGACATGAAGGTGAAATATGACCTTTTGTATCACAAAAATGACATGTGAGATGAGAGTGATTAGAAGATGCATACACAAAGCCATTTTTGATAGTTTTTACTTTTGAAAAAGGTTTATATCCAATTCCGGCTCTACCGAAAGTACGATTTTGATTTTTAAGAATTTTATCTAAAGTTTCTCTACCTTGAGTGAATTTTGAAAGAGTATTTTTCAAGTCTTCAATATTTCCTTTCAAAATAGTTTGCTCCTTTTTTAAAGACTCGTTTTCTTTTTGCAATACAACTAAATGTTTTTCAGAAATTGAAGACTCTTTTCGAGTTAAAATCTTATTTTCCTTTTTCATTTTCATGGCTTCATTTTCTAAAACATTTATCTTGGAAGCCAATGATTCATTTTCTTTTGATAAACTTGAAATTACTTTCTTTTGACAATTACTTTTCAAACTAAGTTTCTTAAATTCAGCATGTAATTCACCAAAAGCTAATTGTAATTCATCAAATGTAAAGGATTCGTCATTTACCTCATTTTCGTTTCCAAGAGCCATTAAGCATTGGTTAGCAGCCTCATTTTTGCAAACTTCGGTTTCTGTGTCGCTTTCATCACTATCTTCTCCCCATGCTGCAATCATAGCTCTCTTTTTGTCCTTCTTGAATTTTTTCTTAAGTTCTGGACATTCTGATTTGTAGTGTCCAGATTTGTTGCATTCGTAGCAGGTTACTTTAGATTTTTTGTGATGTTCTCCTCTTTGAAAATCCCTGTTGTTGAACTCTTTTTTGAAAAAATTTCGTACGCCTTGTTTCTTTCTCACAAACCTTTGGAACTTTCTAGTGATGAATGTCATTTCCGCATCCTCATCTGAATCATCTTCTTTATCCTCTTGATGTTTCGAGGTGGATTTGAAGGCTATTCCTTTCTTCTTGTTGTTGTCCTCCTCTTTCTTTCCTTCTTGCATTATGAGCTCACGAGTTAAGAGAGATCTCATTAACTCATCTAGACTTAGCTTTGATAAATCGTTGGCTTCAGTAATGGCAATGACTTTTGTCTCCCAACTTTTTGGCAATGACCTAAGCACTTTTCTTACAATTTCAGCATTAGTATATATTTTTCCAAGAGAAGTTAAACCATTAATAGTCTCATTAGGCTTCATTTTAAAGAGTTCATAATTATGGACTAACAAACTGACTTTAGATTCTTTAACTTGTTCGGTTCCCTCATGAGTCACTATAAGCTTGTCTCAAATTTCTTTTGCGGCTTTATATGTGGAAATTTTGTTGAACTTGTTGGCATCTAAGGCGCAGTACAATATGTGTAACGCCTCCATTTTTCATGCCCAAATGGTAATACAATGGTCATGGCTCTTTAAAGTAAAACTGGTCATAAATCCTCATACTTGCATTACATGATGTAAATAGTCTTCATGTAAGAATACAATTAATTC